TGGAGGGCTACAGTCCATAGGGTCACAAAGAGTCAGACATGACTGAAGTGACTTAGCATGCGTCCCTATTTTAAAAAGAAAGAAAAGGGGTAGGGGAAGGAAGGAAGGAAAATCTAAATTCAAAAAGACCATGATAGGACACTCCAAAAGTAACCTGGAGCCTCACTGAACAGCAGAATGGTGTATAGTATTTCTCCCCCTCTTTAGAATTAGAGAATAAATGCCCAGAGTGATGGATGAGAGAAAAGTATTATCAGCTGCTGAAGTAGGGAGAGCGATGGAGAAGGTGCAGCACCTAGAGTTGTTCATTTCTGAATCATACTCGGCTTCTCAGAGACAGCCAAACACCAACTCGCTATTTGACCTCTACCTGATATTTTTAAAAACTGGCCGTGTCCATGTATATCCCTCTGACTCAACTTTGTCCATAACATCACAAAGAGCAGTGACGCAGTCAATGGCTCTCACTCAATGATATCTGAAAATTTATTTTCAATAAAATTATATATTTGCCTGTTTTTGAAATTAAATAATAAATAAAGGTAAGAAAAGGAACATATTTATAATGGTTTTCAAGAGTTTTCAATGACATTTTGAAAATGGTTTTCAAGACATTTTCCAAGAGTCTTTATAGTTAGGATTAGAGATGATTTTTCCAAAGTTTCAGAGGAACACTTGACTCAGAAAATTAAATGAATTCTTTGAGATGACCCAATGAGAGATGATAAAAGCCATTTCTTAATTCCTGGCCCAAATTCTAGGCATAAATATTGTGATACCAGCAACTACAAGCACAGCCTCTTGGTGGTGGGAGGAAGGGGACCACTACTTATTTGACCACAAAGATTGTGGAAGCACAGAGTCTGTTTTACTCCCCCTATACCTTCTCACTCATTCCCATCCTGGAAAATAAAATACCGTAAGGAATATCATAGATTTATACAGGGAAAAACTTTAATATTGTGAACACCGGTTCCAGGGTACAAAGATAAAATATAAATACGCTGCCGTCAGTTCTGTTATTCAGAATCCATCATGGATGAAAAGAGATGAGATTGTTCCAAGCCCCTTCCTCTCTGGGCTGCAGAGCATTTATTGTAGGTGAAGTTTATTGCATCAGAATTTCCAGGTCCAGTTGCCATTCTTCTGAACTGTATAGCTCTCTGAACAGTAAGAATTCAGGACTATTTCACTAGTCCCTGGACTAGAACATTTGGCTGAGACTTCATAAATGAATCAAAAAGAATGGTTGCTGTTTTACCAAGCACAGGGGAGGATGCCAAAAATGAGCAAAGGCACTGTGGCAGGAAGGAATCTAGGGTTTGGGGCAAAATAAGGAAAGCTGCCCCAAATGGCCCCCAACCTCTAGATTCTCCAAATGTTAAATGTGCATCAGTGATTGCTGGTATATGTATACAGTATACTAAGAAGACTCAATGTATGGATTGCAAATGTACAGCAGTTGCATTTTTATGGTTACTGCCATACACTGTGCTCTGTTTACCCCCTCCCTTTCCACTGGGTCACCAACTGCCTAATGACCCTGAATCAGATTCCCTAATCTGTCTGTCATCTTTATTTCTCAAAGTGTTCTCTGGCTATTAAGACATTTACTTTTCCTTTGCTTCTATTAGGGTAAAATTTTTCACACAAATCCCTGTTAGTTTTTGTTCCAATCACATTTTCATATCAATGTTCCGTTTTAATAAACCCAGCCAACACCCAGTCCTAGATTTGCTCTATTAGCTCTACTAGGAGAAAAAGGGAGAGAGCCTGGTCTGCTCACATGACCCCCACTCTCCCCCCATATCTACTTTTTCTGGTCGGGCAGATAAGGAAGAGGAACAATATGCTGGTAAGTTTGCATCCTCTTCTTGGTTGGAAGTTTGGCTCAAGCCAAAGTTAATTTAAACAGAAGTCGAGCAGCTCCCTTAAGCTTTGGCCATCCACTCAGTTTCATCTTGCCAGTAGACTCCCAACTGAGAGCCTCATACGAAATTCCTGATGCCTCAAACTCTTTCCCCGATGATCCAGTATGGCCCCAAATGCTTCAGCTCTCTATAGCCCTGCCTCTGGAGCCTGTACCTACACATGGATTCATCTTCATTCCACTAAGAAATCAATAATTCAAGGAAGCAAGGTCTGTTTCTTCTCTACCTGGAGGTCTCACCACATCACCTCTCCCAAAGTTCCTCCCCTAGCCCCATCAGTATCTGCTGGTGGGTGAGCATCCAGTGAGGAAATCAGAAGTCAGTGTGCTTTCTCTGCAGGTCTCCCTTTTCCTTCGAGGAAAGAAAGAAATTGACTTAGGAAAGAAGATTATTGGAAGGTCAGAGATGGAGATAGCCTATCCCTGCCGGCAAGCCCTGCCTTCCTCACAAAAATGACCCACCCCTTCCTCCCAGCCCTCACCTTAAGCAAAGCCTTAGGGAACTCCTCAGTGTTCAGTTCTTGCCTCCATGCATTTGCAAACACCCTACTCTTTGATACCTAAAAACTCCTTTGTATTCATAAAGACTGATGTTGAATTTTACCTCCTCTGTGAAACCTTTCTCTGCTTCTAAAAAGTCAGATCCTTCAACTGCAGTGGTTTCCTTAAGGTCCTTTGACTAGCCCATGTTTATAACACTTACCAAAATGCTTCATGATACATCTGTTTATATCTAGATTTCTACTATTAGGCAAGAGCTCCTTGAAGTCAGAAGCTCAGTGTTATTCATAGATAAGTAAAAACTTAGGACTGGAGAGAGTGGAGAGGAAGAGTTTTCCCTTCTGACATAAATCTCTCAGCAGTTCTTACTGGCAGAAAACAGACTCAGAAAGTTTGTATTTAGAATGAGTTCTGGGGAAATAGGAAAAATCCCACCAGCAAACTTAAAACCACACTTTCTTAGACAGGCGGTATATGAACACATTTTGCATGATCTGCAAAAGAATGCCAAGCAAAGGAATTGGAACCTGATATAATGTATCATAGGAATCACTGTGCCATAGGCAAAAGAATGATGGAATGAAAACTGTGTCCAGGAAAATCCATCTGGCAGGGAATTCTGGACACTTTGGAAGAGAAAGAAGCTGGGTAACAACTAGCAAGCAGCTTTGATGCTGTATTTATTCATTCCTCCACTTGACACTTAGTTTTTACTGCTCGGTCTGCCATGCTGTATCCTAGGTTTTGAGAATAAAACTGAATAATGTAGAGCTCCCAACTTCAAGGAGCTGAAGTTTAATAGTAGAAAAATAGACATAAACAGATATATCACAAAGCACTTTAGTAAGTATTGACATGGGGGCAGAGAAAGAGAGAGGGGAAGAAGGGAGTCATTGAACATGAACTCATATTTGCAGTACGGGAAACATGATGGGTGGTAGCATCATGAACAAAGGAGATGGTACTAAACCTGTATCAGGATGGTAGTAGAAGAATGGAAAATAAAGGATGAACAGTTCAGAAATTTCTTTTTATGGTTTCAAGTGTGCATTTGTCTTTGCATGTGTGTGTGTGTATATATGTGTGTATAAATACATAAATCAAAATAAAATATTTCAAAAGTTAACATTCCAATATAAATAATGTTTCTCACACTGAATGGAAAATATTTAGATGATTCTTAATTTCTTTTTAATACTTGTCAACTTTTTCTAGTTTTTCTCAGCTAATTCGATGCATTTCTTTCTTAATGTTAATTTACTTAGTTGGCTATGCCAGGACTTGGTTGCAGCCCAAAGAATCTTTATCAACTAACTTAATATATTTCTGACATCAGAATAAAGTATTTTAATAGCAAAATAAAATATCCCTCATGATATTAAAAGTGTATTTATTATAAAGTGTTTGATGACACAAAAATTTACATTTAAGAAGTCACTGGTAATCTGATATCTTGGGCATGTATACCAGATCATATTGAATATTAGATTTTGCATAATACCTTTACATTGTGTCAAAACAATTTATTTCATGTATTTTAATGTATAGTACAATTAATCTTACTTCTAATGATGAATATATTTGATATTTCCATTTTTAGAGCACTTCAAATGAAGAAACCTGAAAGATTTGGAAAATACGTAAAACTCACGTCTCAATAACGTCAAGGCTATCACCTTCATCCATCCCAATGAACTTCAACTATGCAAACCTGACTATCCTCTGAGCCTTGCTTTTGTGATCAGTTTGGATTTAAGCACTTATCTATAACAGTTGCTTCCTTTAAGGATCTTAACCCATTCCCAAATTCCCATCTGGGAATCCAAGCCTACATTTTCTCTTCACGTTAAACTATATTCCACTCCTTACCCTCCACTGAACAAGAAGATCTCTCCTACTCTGCCTTTGATTCTCAGAATCAAAGGGTCTCCATGAAAGGCCTCTATCCAGTCTTGTGCTAGAATCTGTACAAAGGAAAACACACTCACTACTCCCCACCTTCTGAAATCTGATGGCAAAAGACAGAGCTACTGTCCAGAGCAGGCAGATAGAAGATCAGTAAAATCCCATATCTTCTGCAAGCTTGAAGGTTAAAGAGTCTTGGTATCAAAGAGCTCAAGGATACACATTAACCAACCCTCAGAAATATTAAGTTAAATAATATGAAATTCCTGGTCTGAGGTCCAAAAAAGTTGATATCTACAGTAATATGCAACTCAACCTATGCTTGGGGACAGCATGTCTCCATGTTCACTCTAGTTAGAGCCACCAAAGCTGAATCCTCTCCTCTAATTATTTTAAAGAGAATTCCTGGGAAATGTGGCATTTTAGGACCTATTTCAATGAGGAGAAAGAGAGAGCGTCTTGAATATTTAGTAACCCTACTTTTTAAGAAGTAGAATACTCTTTGCTTTGGAGAAGCTCTGAGGCAGTCAAAGAGTGAATTAAAAGGAATACTGGGAGTGTGTGGAGTACAGATGGTGGGATAAAGCTGGAGAGGAAACCATGTAACTGAAGACATCTCAAGATCTTCATGTCTTCTCCATGCCCAGTTGACCCACCAGGCTGAATGGAGAGAGCCAACCGCACCTTGGTCACTCAGTTTGTGTTCGTGAGATTTTCCAACTCTCCATGTCTGCAGCTGCTCTTCTTCTCCCTCTTCCTCCTGGTCTACCTCTTATCCCTGGTGGGCAATGGACTCATTGTGCTCATTGTGACCCTGGACGGGCGCCTCCACATCCCCATGTACTTCTTTATCTGCAACCTCTCCTTGGTAGAGCTCTGGTACACCACAGTCACCGTGCCCAAAATGCTGGCCAATTTTCTCAGTTCCCAAGGGGTCATCTCAGTTCCCAGCTGCATCACCCAATACTACTTCTTCTTCTCTTTGGCTGCCACAGAACTCTTCTTTCTCACCACCATGGCCTATGACCGCTATGCGGCCATCTGCCGACCACTCCACTACCCACTGCTGCTCAGCCCTCAAACGTGTGGTACCCTGGCTGGCATCTGCTGGTGTGTGGGATTCCTCTGCCCCATGTTCCCCTCATTCCTCCTTACACAGATCTCCTGCACCCCCAACCAGATCAACCACTTCTTCTGTGATGCTGACCAGATTTTCCGCCTTTCTTGCACAGACACATACGCCATCCAAGCTGTGGGCTATGCTTTTAGCACTGTCATTATCCTAGGGGCCCTGGTCTTTACTATGGCTTCTTATGCCCACATCCTGGCCACAGTTCTAGCCATGGCCTCAGCTGCTGCTCGGCGTAAGGCCTTTTCCACATGCACAGCTCATCTTTCCGTGGTCACCATCTACTTTGGCACTCTCATATTCATGTATGTCCGCCCTGCAGTTAAGTATGAGTCAAGTATCAACAAGATTGTGGCTATTTTCTACTCAGTCATCACTCCCCTTCTCAATCCTCTCATCTATACACTCCGTAACAAGGATGTCAAGGAAGCTCTGAAAGACTTGGTGTCCCAGATGAAAAAGGTCTACCACTCAAGCAGGGAGACAAAGTGATGGAGCCACAAGAGAAGCAGAGAGAGCAAAGCTGGTGGGATATCCAGCAGAAAATAACTCCTAGTCATTGCATTTTACCAGTGCAAGGTAACTTTTTTAATCATTAAGCTTAGCTTTTTATTTTTTTTAATTTTTGGTTGCACTGTTTTGATTGCTTCGTGCAGCCTTTCTCTAGTTGCAACAAGTAGGAGTTACTCTTGCCACTGCACTGGCTTCTCATGGCAGTGGCTTCTCTTGCTCTGGAGCACAGGCTCTAGGTACAGGAGCTTCAGTGGTTGCCGTGTGTGAGCTCAGTAGTTGTGGTTCACAGGCTCTAGAGCGCAAGCTCAGTAGTTGTGGCATACCCACTTTAGTTGCCCCAAGCATGAGGAATCTTCCCAGACCAGGGACTGAACAAGTATCCCTGCATTGGTAGGCAGATTCCCATCCATGGTATGACCAGGGAAGTCTTTTCATTAAGTCTATATATTTGCTCTGGGGAGTTATCCATGGCACATTTTAAGTGAAACAGTTGCACATCCTGCCACCCAGCATGTCCATTTGCTGCCTGTTCCTTCCATTGCTCAGCTTCTCCAGAGGAATGAATATTCTCATGTTCATATAAGTGCTGGGAAATCATGCAGGATTTGTAGTCTGTGCATCTGAGTTGGACATCCAGCTCCCTCACTTGCTATCAGGTTGGTAACCAAAGGACATCAAATCCTTTTTAGTTCTCTCAGAGAGTAGTTCTGATGTTCAGTTGACTTAATAACATGCAAAGCAGTGAACGTGCAAAGCCAAAGAATTGATGCTTTTGAACTGTGGTGTTGGACAAGACTCTTGAGACTCCTTTGGACAGCAAGGAGATCCAATCAGTCAATCCTAAAGGAAATCAGTCCTGAATATTCATTGGAAGGCCTGATTCTGAAGCTGAAACTCCAATACTTTGGCCACCTGATAGGAAGAACCAACTCATTGGAAAAGACCCTGATGCTGGGAAAGACTGAAGGCAGGAGGAGAAGGGGCTGACAGAGGATGAGATGGTTGGATGGCATCCCCAACGTGATGGACATGAGTTTGAGTAGGCTCTAGGAGTTGGTGATGAACAGGGAAGCCTGGCGTGCAGCAGTCCATGGGGTCGCAAAGAGTTGAACATGGCTGAGCAACTGAACTGAAAGCAGTGAACAAGTGCTGGTTTATTAGATTACGTTGGTATGTAGTTTTCTTTCCTTGCAGTGCTATTATGAACTGGACTGTGTGTGACCACATCCTCCGACCCAGAAAAATTCGTATGTTGAAGCCCTAATGATCCATGCTTCAGAATGAGGCTGTATCTGGATACAGCGTCTTTAAAGAGATGATTAAGGATAAATGAGGTACCTGGGATGGGGCCTAATGCAATGACTACTAGTATCCTTTTAAGAAGAGGCAACTAGGACACAGATACACAGAGGGAAAACCAGTGTCTTAATACATAGGAGAAAACAGACTTCTATAAGCAATGGGAGTAGACTCAGAAGAAATTAACCTTGCCAACACTTGAATCTCCAGACTCCAGAACTGTGAGATAATGAATCTCTTTATTTAATCCATCCTATCTGTGATACTTTGTTATAGCAGCCCAAATAAACTTTGCCTGTTCTTTTCTTTTTTATTGAAGTTTAATTGATTTACAATGTTATGTTAGTTTCAGGTACACAGTAAAATGATTCATATATATATATATATATATATTCTTTTTCAGATTATTTTCCCTTAAAGGTTATTACAAAATACTGAGTACAGTTCCTTGTGCTATACAATAGATTCTTTGTAGGTTATCTATTTTACATACAATAGTGTGTATATGTTAATAGCAAACTCCTAATTTTCCCTCCCCTCCTTTCGCCTTTGGTAACCATAAATCTGTTTTCTTTGTCTGTGGGTGTATTTCTGTTTTGTATAGAGGTTCATTTGTATCATTTTTTAAATTCCACATATAAGCAATATTATATAATATTTGTCTTTGTCTGGCTTACTTTACTTAGTATGATAATCTCTAGGTCCATCCATGTTGCTGCAAATGGCATTATTTCATCACTTTTTTGGCTGAGTAATATTCCTTTCTCTGTGTGTGTGTGTGTGTGTGTGTGTGTGTGTGTGTAATACATCTCCCATATCCATTCACCTGTTGATGGACACTTAGGTTTCCTCCATTTTTTGACAATTGTAAATAATGCTGCTACAATCACGGGTGCATGTATCTTTTTAGTGTTTTGATTCAGTTTGGTTTGGTTTGGTTTGGATATATACCCAGGAGTNGAAAAATATAGCAAGAACCCAGGGAACCTTTCTCCCCTGGAAATCATAGAAATTATCCCAGTAAAAATTCATTATCACAAAGACTCCTACTCTACTAGGAAACTTATACTCTTTACATCTTTCATTTTGAACAATTCAGCAGAAAGGAAATAGACATGGCTCTTAAATATCTGAATAAATGCTCCTCCTCGCTTACAGAAAAAGGAAATTAAAATGCTTGAAGTCAATCTTACCCATGGAGCATTGGTGATGCTGTAAGGAGAAATCACTTTCATTTATCAGAGGGACCCTTTGGGAAGGTAACTTTGCAGCATTTCTCGAATTTACAATTCATGTATCACTTGACCTAGCAGTCTGCCCCTAAGAATTTATCCTTCAAATTTATTTACATAGATCCAAAATGACCTATTTATAAAGTTATTTATTGCAGCACAGTTTTTAATAGCAAAAGATGTTAATAAATGTCCATCAGAACGGGGCTGGTCCTAATCATAGTTCAGCCATGCAGTGGAGCACCACACACCACAGGAAGAATGAGAAGCTTTCAACATAGAGACCGAAGAAGTGCTGAGATCTATTGTTCAGTGGAACATACAAGGTACAGGACAGTTGATGCTGGATATTACTATAAAAATATCTAAAAACTCTAGAGGAGAAATCTAAAATATGTGCACTACTTACATATGAATAAAATATATTTTTAAAGATACACAAGAAAATGCCAACATCCATTACTCTTCAAGACTGGAGGACTAGACCCTCCCTGGTGCCTCTGGAATTTTTAACCATGTGACTATATATCCCATTCAAATTTTTTTCTAAAAATGAAATAAAAAGAAATCATTTCTTTTAAATTGCTTTCCTTACCTTGGGTGAGGTGCAGATGGGCCAAGAACAAGAAAAGCTATTTTCTTTACATATCTCTGAATTGTTTTCACAACCATGTATACATTTTAACATAAAAATATCCAACATAGATTAAAAAGATATATTTTCTTTTGCAATTCCTAAAAATATTTTTTAACCATTAACAGAAAGCTACTGTGGTCCTAAATGTTCAAAAAAGCTAAACTGGCTATGTCTCTTTTTTCCTCAAGAATCTTAAGGATCTGAACTTAAGAATTTCCATAAGAATCCGAACTGGCTATGTCTCTTTTTTCCTTGAGAATTTCCTTTATTTCTCACTTGGTAAAGGGTTTTTGCTTGTTTTAGTTTGTTTATTTTTTATTTTTTCCTCGAGTAATGTGCATTCCGGCTGATCATCTAGAAAGAGTGATGTGGGGTTCGTGTTAAGCCTCCTTAGTCATGTCCAACTCTTTGTGACTCCATGGACTGTAGTTTGCCAGCTTCCTCTGTCCATAGGATTCTCTAGGCAAGAATACTGGAGTGAGTAACCATGCCCATCTCCAGGGGATCTTCCCAACCCAGGGATCAAACCCACATCTCCTGCAGCTCCTGCATTTCAGTCAGATTCCTTACTGCTGAGCCACTGGGGAAGCCCAGAAAGATAGTGATGCTTGAATCCAAACCGGAGATGCTACTAGAGGTTTCAATACTTTCACTGCAGCTTTTAGGAAAAGGCAGAGGATACTGTATTGGGGAACACATGTAAATCCATGGCTGATTCATATCAATGTATGGCAAAAACCACTACAATATTGTAAAGTAATTAGCCTCCAACTAATAAAAATAAATGGAAAAAGAAAATGCAGAGGAACCAGAGATCAAATTGCCAACATCCGTTGGATCATTGGAAAAGCAAGAGAGTTCCAGAAAAACATCTATTTCTGCTTTATTGACTATGCCAAAGCCTTNGAGTGTATTCATGAGAGAGTACCCGGGATTGGAAACCCAAAACAAGAAGAGTCTCTTAATAAATAGCTTTGGTTGACTTTTAAAACGTTGAGAAACCCTGAAATTTCACCTCAACTAACAGATATATTATTTATAGACTATGAATTAGACTTACTACAATGTATACATAGAAAGATTAAAGTATGGTAGGATATAGCAGGGCATGTGCTGATAGAATACCTCCAAATTAGTAACCAAGAACCTTGTGAAAGATAAGCCGTTAGAGTCTGAATCTTTAACTGATTTCAATCATGTCTAACCATTTTCCCCCAACTTGAATGTGCGATAATTATCTTGAATGTTTTAATGGCAAAATGTAAAGAATTAGGTAGATCTCAGTCTTCTACAAAATGGTCAAAATCAGAACTGTAACTAAGTTTGTAACTAAGTCAAGGCTATGGTTTTTCCAGTAGTCATGTATAGATGTGAGAGTTGGACTATAAAGAAACCTGAGCACAGAAGAATTGATGCTTTTGAACTGTGGGGTTGGAAAAGACTCTTGAGAGTCCCTTGGACAGCAAGGAGATCCAACCAGTCCATCCTAAAGGAAATCAGTCCAGGGTGTTCACTGGAAGGACTGATGTTGAAGCTGAAACTCCAATATTTTGGCTACCTGATGCGAAGAGCTGACTCATTTGAAAAGAACATGATGTTGGGAAAGATTGAAAGCAGGAGGAGATGGGGACAACAGAGGATGAGATGGTTGGATGGCATGACCAACTCAGTGGAGATGAGTTTGGGTAGACTCTGGCAGTTGTTGAGGGACAAGGAGGGCTGGCGTGCTGCAGTTCATGGGGTCGCAAAGAGTCAGACATGACTGAGCGACTGAACTGAACTGGCTGAACTGCAGCTTTATTTATAACTCA